AGTGCATAAAACGCACTTATCACTCCACATCACTTCATTACAATTCAAATGGACTGATCAATATTACTCAATGAAACAAGTCCGAAGTGATGACACCAAAAACGCAATTATCACTCCTAGCGCAACTGATCAACTTCAACCCTGTGTACTAGAGATCTTTATGGAAAGATCGCAAAAACCAAATCATTAGGACTGATTGATGGGACATACGCAAACTCCAAAAGGTCAAGGCACGCATAATTGTGTCAGAGTGTATTAAATGAACAGTCTACCTATGGATTGACGGATTGACGGGACGGTCTGCAAAGCCACGTGCTCCACATCCAACGATTATTCTCTTATTCACTTTCATTATAAATACTCACACTTGCACTATAGAAGGAGTTGGTCCCTGGAAAGAAAAAGGAGCACAATCTTTTTACATTATCCGTCCATACACACATCACCACCACCGGACGTCCCAACTCTGATCTATCAACTTACTAACTTGATCGTCGGAGTGCTCGCGGCAGCTTCCACCCCATCGAAAAAGGCCACGAGCGACTAACGGTGTGTTACTACATGCATGAATGAGCTTATGTGGTTGGCCACGTGTTTTGGTCATTTTTCGGGGTCAACAATATGTATGGTATTATTTATTAGTTAGTATCAACCATCGTATTATGTTAGATCAATTAACACATTACACAATGAATGACGAAATTCGGCAAGTACACTTATCATAGTCAAGTAATAAAGTAATGCTACAATGACTACGTATTTAATCTAATTTCAATTAACACTAACTCTAATTAATTTGTCAATTTATGATTGTTGATTTTATTGCTAGTTATATAAACTAATCTAATAAACAACTAAGAAATAGTTTGTAAAGTCGGTTAAAAGTACGCGCTAAAATTTTGAATCTCCTTTTATTAATTTATTTTAATACAAATCACGACCGTGAAAATGTTTATTTATTCTTGTTAATTAATGCTCACTTTTTATTTAATAGTTTCTTTCAAGTAGAATTAAACATATTATATGTGATCTTTCTATATCTCCGTAGAAAATACGAACACAAAATACTGTATTAATATCATGAGAATATTTATTTAAATCATGTAAGGCATAGCGGTGTATATATACTCTTATTGGCCTCCACCACAATTGTTATAACATGTTATATTCTTATTATTTCTCTCGAATACAATAAAGATCACAAAATAATTTATTTAGTAACTAATTAATTGAAAAATGTTAAATTCTATGACAATATCCAAGACAAACATGTAATGTCAAAGCCTTGAAATTAATGTTGAAACATCATAATAGAATGTTCATTTATGTCTTGCCGACTAAAAGTTT